GATATTTTCCCTTCAGGTGTCTGGTAGTTCCGGAGCTCATACCTCAGGCACGCATTGACCCAACGGAGGTACACTAGCTCTTCAACTTCACTGAATCTGTTCATCTGAAGTCCTTCAACTTGCTTTAACAAGTCTTCATTTGCATGCCTTAAATTATTGACCTCTACTCTTGCTCTGGCAACCATTTCACTCTAAGAAAACAGAAGCCCAGGTATTGATTTGAGACATTAGCCAGGCACATTAGACAAGTGCATGATATATATGATCTATAAACTCCAACTGAAGCATTCAGCTTTAGACAAAAGTGATAAGGAAATTTGACAAAAATGACAGGTTAGTTGTAAAATCTGATTATCACGTGGAGACAGTTCAGATGCAGAGTTATTTGCTTAATAGAGTTACTTGCCACATATATCTGCTGTGCATGTCATTGATTACCCTAGATTTACCACTTTATCTCATAATTTTCTAGCTCATGAAAATTAGTAGTTAATAAATACAATAACTTAAGTGATTACCCAAAAAACAAAAAGTGCACTTCATTAAGTAACATTTCCTTTCTGAAAACAAAACAGCTTTTAAATGCCCCGTTTTAGAAGAGTAGTCATTTTGGCTATTCATGCATGGTTTCTCATCAACCCATCAATTTTACATGCCAAGTTATGGGGAAAAACTCATATTGTCTAGCCTTAATAGAAGAGCAAAAGCAGAAGGAGCAAACTCATATTGTTTGGCCATTTATGATAGGCTGGAAAACATTTCTTTCTGCTCCCAACATTAACCTAGTCAAGTCTGAATTGGTGAGATTGGGTGATAGGAGGAATGCTAATAGATTAGTTATGATTCTGGGATGCAGGAATATGGACCTACCACTCAAATATTTCAAGTTCCCATTAGGTGCTTAATATCAAGATGTGACGACTTGAGACCTGGTGTCTGTGAGGTCTGAAAAGAGTTGGTCTAAATGGAAGGAGAACTTTTTATCTAAAGGAGGAAGACTCATACTTTTTAAGAGCATTATGACCAACATTCTCATTTATTACATATCCATATTGACAGTTCTCATGAGTGTGGAGAAGAGATTGGAACCAATCCAGTGTAGATTTCTATGAGGAGACACGAAGGATAAAAAAAACATCATCTTGTGGTGTTGGATGAGGTTTGGATTTGAGATCTTTGGTAGAGTTTAATATGACTCTTCAAAAGAAATGACTTTGGTGATTGATGAAAGAAAATGGTAGTTTCTGGTGGAGGGTGATCGAAGTGAAGTTTGGGACCATAGATAGAGGATGGTAGATCAAGCTCCCATCTAGATTCCATGGGAATGGGATGTGGGAAAAATCTATATGGGCAAGAGTAATTTCTAAGATTGCATCAGCTGGAGGGTTGGCACAGGGAATATATATGATCAGCTTATGGCATGATGCCTAGTTGGAGGATGGAATACTCAGAGATCAATTCCCTTGGATCTATGCTATTACTCGGTACAAGAGTATCTTGATTCATGAGTCATATAGTGGCACTGTGGAGGAAGGGAGAGTGGACTGCAGAGATCACAAGAAATCACAATGATTAGGAAGTTAGGGAGTATGAGACTCTTCTTCTAGCCCTTGTTAGGGTTAGAACTAATGGGAGTAGAGACCAACCAGTTTGGATGCTTAATCCTAGAGTGACTTTCTCCATTAGATCTTTCTACAATCATTTGAATAAAAGAAGCCATGGGTACTAATTTTCCATTTCAGGAAATCTGAAAAGTTAATGCTCCATGTTGCTTTTTTTGCTTAGGAGGCTGGTAGAGCTTGTATTCTAACTCTGGACCAGAAATAAGAGAGTCAAAAAGTATGTTATTGATATTTCCCTTGCTACGTTTGGATGGTATGAAAAGGAAAAAATAAGAGAGCTTTTGAGGGCGTGAAAAATGATTTTGATATGCTAAAACATAGATGGTTCTAGACCCTAAGTTTTTTTTTATTATAGTCATCCTCTCTATTCATTTGAGGACTTTGGGAACTTTATTGGCATTTTGATTGATATGTAGATAACATTCTACATGGATTTGAACCCTCTTGGTGCATGTGGATGAATCATACCATACTATTTTTATTTCAAAAAAAAGATAGTAAAGAAAAATAGGATTTTTGTTACAGGAATGTTACCTCTGTCATATTGGAGAGGGATGTTATCTTTGCTTCAGCAGCATCCAGTTTAACAGTTAACTCTCTCTTTTCATGTTGAAGCTCTCTATTCTTCCTCTTAAGTTCCATAACTTCTACTTCTAACTCCTGAACGGCTTTCAGCTTCTTCTCCACCTCAGCATTTTTTTTTATGGCTTCTTCCTCTTTGGCCTGAAGACCAGAAACCTGTTGCTTGAGTAACAACAACTGTCCTTTTGTCTGGTTAGCATCAAGCTGTATTTGCCTCTGCAGCTCCTTGATCTTGTTCCTCGCTAACTCCAGCTCCTTCTTCACAGAAGCACTCCGTAAAATTTCTTCTTGAAGCTTTTTCCTCTCAGCTTGCAAGGAGTTTATAGTAATATTGAGCATGTCAATCTCAACTGTCTTGATCTTGAGCTGCCTTTGTAATTCAACAATATTCGTCTCCTGCTCCTTTAAGCCATAGTACTCGAGCAACTCGCCCTCTAGCTTTACTTCCCTCTCTTCCAATTCTTTCACTAAGTTGCGCAACCGCTCTAATTCACTTGCATTGTTTGCCATCTCAGTTTCATAAACTTTATCTTTCTCTGGTGCAGTGAATTTATTAGTAGGTAATGGGTATTCAATCTCCCCAGATAGAAGGTCTTCAAATTCAGGCAAAATGTCTTCATCATCAACATCTGGTGCATTACCATGAGCCCGGT